TCAAACGAGCCTATGAGTAAATACTATTATCCTAATTTTACAGCTAACAAAACAGACAAACTCTTGAGTAAGTTGCCCAAGGCTAGGATGCAACCTGGGCCTTCGGGCAGCAAAGCTTATGTTCTTAATCACGATCCCATTTGTTTAACTTCTGTCTCTTGCATTAGAATGAAAGCTCCATGCAGATGGGGGGGGGGGTGCATACTGGTGGTGCTTTCCACTGCGCCTACACAACAGGCACACAGTAACTATGTGTTGAATAAAATCAATGAATAACCTAAGTGAAAGAAATAGTGGACTAAATTATGTACAGATACAAGAAATATTTTGGATGAAATATTGGCAAACTTTTTGCAGACTTTGGTGATTGTTATGGGCTAAATGTCTATAGATTCATATATTGCCTCTCCTCAAATTCATATGTTGAAATCCTAAGCTCCACTGCAGCCTCTAAGGAAGTAATTAAGGTGAAACGAGATCGTAAGTGTGGGGCCCAAATCCAAACGTTAGGTGTCCTTATAAGAGGAGGAGAAACCAGAGTGTTTTCTGTTCTCTCTTTCTCTTTCTCTCTCTTTCCCTCCCTCTCTCTCCCCTCTCTCTGGTTTCCTCTCTCTCCTCTCTCCATGTATGTACTCAGGAAAGGTCATCAGGGGACTAGCCAGAAGGTGGCCCTCTGTAAGCCAGGAAGAGGCTTTCCTCAGAAAGCAAACCAGCTTGAACCTTGATCTTGGACATTTAGCCTACAGAACTGTGAAAAAATAACTTACTGTTGTTTAGCCCCCCAGTATATGACGATTTGTTATGGCAGCTGGAGCAGACTAACACGGTGATTAATAGGATGAAGGTGGGGGTGGAGGACAGGTTTTTAGTCTGGAGAACTACAGGGGCAGTGGTGCCAGTAACTGGGGTAAATAACCAGGCAAGAGGAAGGGGAGAGATCTGTTATGGTCAATGGAACAAACACCACTAATTTTCTGAACTCAGGGTTTGCCTCACTCAAACACAGAAATATAGAATTTAGCTATTTGAAACCATTTGTTCAATAAATGTGTATTTATCCCCTAGTCATGGTGACCGCTGTGCTTATCCTGAAAATACAAAGCAAATAAAATTCATTTTCTGCCTTCAAGAGACTCCGGTCCACTGGGGAGAAAGATTGTTCCCTTTTGTAAAGCTGGCACGCGAGCTGGAAAGACGATGTTCCTTTTCTCCCCTTTCTGAAGACCTGGAATCATCAGAATTGTATAGAGGCAAAAATCTCATTTGGATAAGAGCTTTGGAGTCACATGAACTGGATTTGAATATGGGCCTTGGAGCATACGTGCTGAATAATGATCCTAGGCAGTTTTAGGGCGCTCACTTATAACAGCAGAGTTGTTTTAAGATCAGAGAAGAAAAGGTAGGTAGAAATGTTTTGTAAGGTGCAATATGCATGTTAGCAATTATCTTTTAAAAGCTACATTTCTAATCTGCAGAAACTAGAGGTGAATCAGCCATGGGCAACAAGTCAGAGGTGAAAGGCCAGCTTTGAACCCTGTGGGCGGCAGGAGTTCTGGGATGGGAGAGGGAGTAAGACTGGGACACAGAACAGGCTTTGGGGTCTTACAGACCTAGTTCAAATCACAGTTCAGTCAGTTATTAGCTATGGAAAACTGAGCAAGTCATATAATTGATCTGAGCTTTAGTTTCTTCATCTGTAAAATGGAGTTAATAATACTACCCTGGAGGGTTGTTTTGAGTATGTAAAGGGCTTGGCATGGTGCCTGGCAGAGTTGTCAATTAATGGTAACTGTTGTTTCTATTAAAATATTATCATTTTCCTCCCCTACCTCCTAAGGGATTTGTGTAGGTAGTGAAGAAACTTGAGATGCCAAGAAGTGAGGGAAATGGAAGGGCTTTTATGACTTACTTAAAAAGTTATTTTTAAAAGTAAAAAAAAAAAGAGTAGTCCAACTCGGCTTTCTTCTCCTAACCTATGGTGCAAACATAACTCTTGTAGAAATAACCACTGTAATAACTTGGAGCCACAGAACTCCCACCTTGATAATTATTCCTTGTATTTATTCTATCCTAAGTAAATCTATCAATCACCATTAATAAGGGTTCTTCAAAGGCAGTGCTTCTCAGGCTTTAATGTACACATGAGTCAGTTGGGGGCTTGTTAAAATGAAGACTTTTATTCTGTGGATTTAAAGTGGGGCATGAAATCCTGCCTTTCTAAAAGCTCCCAGGTGAGGCTCACGCTGCTGGTTCATACACCACACTTTGGGGAAAGAGCAAGCCTCTGAAGGGACATGGACATATCTTCCGTAGCCTGGCGTTCACTGTAATGGCCTGCTTCTCTCTGATCCACCTAATTACAAACTAACTACTAGAACACTAGTGAGCCCTTTTCAGACCAGATTTAGAAATTCTGCAACAGGACTCATTTCAGATCAACAGCGACTTTTTTGAGTAGCCTACTTGTGCAGGGCACTGGGAAAGGTGTTGAGGATACAGAGGTTAGTAAGACACAATTCCCGCTTCTGAAGACTGTGCTCATTCTAACACTGCATGCCCTTGTAGGCTGTTAACTCTCTGAGGGCGGTCTTACCGTCTCCCTTGTTGCCTAACACACTACGTAGATGCTCAATAAATACTAAATGAATGAGTCAGTGAGTTCACAGGCATTTCATTAAAAATGCCTTTTCATACATGGGCCAGTGTGGCTCAGTGCTTAGAGCATCGGCCCGAGCACTGAAGGGTCGCAGGTTTAATTCCCAGTCAAGAGCACATACCAGGGTTGCAGGTTTGATCCCCAGCCCAGATCTAGACTCATGGGAGAGGCAACCAATGAATGTGGCTCTCTCATATCGATGTTTCTCTCTCTCTCTCTCCCCCACCTCCTTCCACTCTCTAAATATCAATGGGGACAATATCCTCAGGTGAAGATTAACAAAAAAAGTCTTCTCACAGCACATGAGAATGAGACACTCTTAAACTGCCCTCTCTCCTAAATATCACGTGTAAGAGGTGGTCAAGTTAAATTGAGGCAGACAGAGTGGGTCCTAATACAATCTGCCTGGTGTCCTTATAAAAAGGGGAGAATAGAACACACAGAGAAAGATTCTGGGGCTAAGAACACAGCGAGAAGGTGGCCATCTGCAAGCCAAGCAGAGACCTCAGAGGAAACTAGACCTGATGACACCTTGATCTTAGACTACCAGCTTCCAGAACTGTGAAAAAATAAATTTCCATTGCTTAAGCCACCCAGTGTGTGGTATTTTGTTATGACATCTTTAACAAACTTATACAGATTTTCACAGGTTTTATGCCTAGAGCCAAGACTCCCTTTTGTATAATACACAAAATGGTAGAATAATTCTTAGAGTGGATGAACCTCAGAGTGCAATGGGAATGAGTTACGGAAGAATTGTGGGGAGACAGACAGAAGAAGGCGAGACAGTAGCCCAAACTGGGCTAAAACAGCTGCAACACACACACACACACACACACACACACACACACACACACACACACACAATTTTCTCCCCTTATCATGATACCAACACAAAGTCTAGGGCTATTTTCTCCCCAAATCTGAGACCAAAAGCAGCTTTTTGACTTTTTCCCCCTTGGTAGCAGACGGAAGATCCTGGGTATCTCTCTGTATGCAAAGAGCTAAAGAGTACCTGTGATGATAAGGCAATGAAACCGAATTTTTGACAAACAAAATAAAAAACACACAAATGAGATGCCTGCTAGACACAGGGAAGCTACATTTGAAGCCCAGTTCCAAAGTCAGGGAATTACTATTTTTTGTTTAGCTTAGTTTGTAATAAACATGCCAACTCATATGTTTAGATGAGTACCTCCTTTGAAATAGTCATTCTGGAAGGTCCTACCTTTTTCTAACCATGTTACTGTTTTCAAATCATTTCTGGAATTACTTTCAGGGTCTGTGAGATAGTCTTCTGAATGCTCTCAGTGGTGACTCTTGAAGGTGGATTTGATTTTCAAAAACAACCAAGGGTCCTTCTGGATCAACTTTGGTTAACTAAGGGGACCAGTCAAACTGTGGAATGCAAGCAGACTGACCCCAAAGTACCCCGGCTGATGTTTCTTGGGTGAACTGTACTCGACCCCAGAAGACAGATTCCAAAGACAAACCCCAGACATGTAGTGAAAATATTATAAGCATGACATCAAGGTGGGGGATGGTGACTGCTCTGAAGGAAACACACCTGTTTTCTTTTCAAGTGGATATGCAAGTTTTCTAGCGGTTCCCTTTACTAGAATATTTCCTCAGGTCCGGATCCATATTACCTCATTGGACCACAGTTCAGAGAAGTACAAGGACCTCACTGCCTTAGTCAAGTTTTAATCCCCAACCTGGGTACTTGATGTGTGAAATAAATAGCTGATGGAAATTTCATTAGGGGGTAAGAATACCTAAGGTGCTTGGGGCTTACTCTATTTGATTCTAAGGGCATAACTAGGACCCAGAGAGAAGCTTGGGAAAAATAAATTTCTACTGTATGTAAGAAAGACATTGTCAGCGGTTGGAGCTGTCCAGCAGTGGATTGAGTTTGCCCTGGAAAGAGTGAGCTTCTAGCCCTGGGAGTTTAAAACAAAGGCTGCTTGTTACTGGAACCTGTGGAGGTTCCTCTTGTAATGGGTGAGAAGCTATATGCAGTGACTTCCAAGGACTATCTCCAAAGTCCATTCTGCACAATACCTGGCAAATGGCAGGCCCTGAAAAAATACTGGAGTGAAATGAGTGAGAGCTATGGGGCACCCTGTGAGCCAAGTCAAGGGGCAGAGGCTTGGAGTTGAGTAAGCTGCAAGGGAGCTAGGAAGAAGTGAAACGAAAAGAGCCAGGGAGTCATGCGGTGGGGTCTATCTTGCGTTTTGGGTACCGCAGGAGAATGGCCATGGGTACCTGAGGCCTCACATGTTTAGGAAAGGGTAATACTTCTGAAGGAGGTAGGAGCTGAGAAAGGAGATACACCACTGCTCACCCTTCTTAAACTCCTCCAGCACCGTGTCCAGCCGAGTATCGTTGAAGACGCAGTGCAGGGGCCGGTTGTAAAAGCGGGTGACGGTGAGGAGCGGGGTGCAGTCGTCGGGGTCCACGAAGGCCAAGTCCTTGACGAACAGAATGTCCACGATGTTGTGCCGCTGGTCGCCCTCGTACACAGGGATGCGCGTGTAGCCGCTGCGAAGGATCTCGGAGACCGTGGAGAAGTCCAGCACGGCGTCGGAGCGCAGCATGAAGCAGTCTCCCAGGGGGGTCAGCACCTCCTCCACCACTTTGGTGCGCAGCTCCAGGGCGCCCTGGATGATGTTGAGCTCCTCCTTCACCAGGTCGTTGTAGGGGTCCGCGGCCCGCAGCGTCTCCAACAGCTTCTCCCTCGTGTAGAAAGTGCTGATCTCCTGGCGCAGCGCCCAGTCCAGCAGGCGGCCCAGCGGGTAACACACGGGGAAAGCGGCCGCCATCAGGAGCCGGGTCAGGCACACGCTGTGCGAGGCGATGGCCAGCCCGTGCCGCGAGCACACCGAGTAGGGGCAGATCTCCGCGCCCAGGAACACGGCGCCGGTGCACACGAGCGCCGGCAGCCACGGGAAGTGAATGCCCGCCTCGCCGTAGCCTTCGCCGGGATCCCCGACGCCCGGAGGCAGCGAGGTGTACAGCCAGCCGGCCAGGGCCGCGTTGGCGCCGGCCTGGCCCAGCAGCAGCGTGCAGAGCAGATGGGTGCCCCTGCCGCGCACCGCCTGCACGCGGCGCGCCTGCTCCTGCTCGGCGGCCGAGCCGCTGTTCCGGAGCACCCGCAACTCCACCGGGTCCAGCGAGAGCAGGCTCAAGCGCAGGCCGCTGAACA